CTCTCCGCCGGCAGCGCCAGCGTTGTGGGAGGCCGTCCCGTCCTCCGCAGCCTCTCCGGCACTTCAGGCGTCTTCGTTGTCCCCCTTGGGCCCGCCTAAAAGCGGCATCGCTTCGTTACGGCGGGGGCTGCTTCACAGGCGAGTCTGGCCCTTGGAGCGCTGGCAGGTGTGCCGCGGGGGGAAACACCGTGGACAGCTTGTGAGGGCGGTTTAGCCGAGCTGCTGTGGCTAATAAAAATGTATTTCAGTCCAGCTGTGGTAACGTGTAAATAAACTGCTCCTGAATCTCCGTTTTCCGGAGAACTTTCCTTTGGGTGCATTTTTGGAGATATCCCTGGATCCCGAGCTGAGCCGTTCGCCGGGGTTACAAACGCCAAAGCAGCGGAGTGTGCTTTAGGTTGGCACGCTCCTTAGGTTAGTTTTTCCCCCTCCTCTTGCCGGGAACTGCGACACCAGCCCTCTGGCCGGCATGGGTGGCAGGCCGGGGCGAGAGCCTGCCAGCAGCAGCTCAGGCAGAGGCGACCTGCATCCTGCGGAGCCGAACTGCCGGCCTTGAAAGGCTGCTAAAGCCTCACTGGCTGTTTGAAAACAGGAACTGGCAGTTTTTATGGTGCAGCTTTATATGTTGCATTTCACTAGTGGTCCTCTGATAATCAAAACTGTAGTACTGACCAATGCCCTTATATCCCAGAAGTCTGGAAAGGTCTATGTATGTGGGGAGAAGTAAGAGGAAATTTGATATTTTTTTTTTAAGTATCTGGCTTTTTTCTGTTACGATATTACACATAGTGCTTTTGGCTTAGCATTACCAGCTGTCCTGTTGGGTTCTGGCAGAGGATAGCAGTAAGGCTAGATCTTGTAAAATGGGATTAAGGATTGAATGACCTACTAGGCTGATTTACAGAGCATTTTCTGAAACTGTAATCTCTTAATGATAGAATAACTGAGTTTTAAACAATGATTCCTGACAAGCTTGTGGTAACGTATGCAGTGCTGTAAAACACCTAATTCGTTCAGTGGGGTGCCAGGGTGTAGGAAGTCATAAGTGGGTGGATCTGGCTCTTAATAAAACCATTCATTAAAACACTTGGGCTTCCCAAATGTGCCTGCCATCTAAATGGGCACATTGTGGATGGTGGTGTTTGTATTTCTGAGGGTAGTATGGCTGTGCTGAACACAGTGAGTTTTCAAAATTTCTGTGTACTTCCCAGATTCATCCATCTCAAGCACAGAACTTCAGATGATCCTGTTTATGTTGTCTCTTCCTGGCTTCTGAACCTCAAACTGGTCACTTAACATATAATTAATGTGGAAACATGTATACTGTTAATTAGTTCAAAAGAATAAAGGAAAACTTTTGTGACAACCTGTGATAAACAGAATGTCTTATTCCAAGCCCAAACAAGGCCATCCTGTCTCTCATCCTGTGGATGGTAGAGTGCCAAGGAATGAGAGTGTAAGCACAGGGAAATGCCCATTGGTGTCTCCATGCAATGCTCATCCCAACTTCCATGAATTGTGATTCAGTCTGTATTTAATAGCTCCAAGTGCACTTCTATCTAGAGCTCTTGCATCAAGAGTGCCCAGGAGAAAGGAGTTTTGCAGCCTTATTGCTGCTTGTGCGAAGAACAAGTTCTCTGGGGTGTTTTGAGCCTCCAGCGTGTGGGTTTCACTTACTTTTCTCCAATTCTTGTACTGGAGGAGGTGGTGAACAGCCCTGCACAGCAATGTTCACTGTGTCCATGAAATCCTGAGCAATGCGGAGCTGTATGATATTTGTTCCAGGCTGAAGGATCCTGATGTGTTTAACTGGTCATTGTATAAAGGTGGTCCACATGTCTGATCCTTTGCTGTGTGTTGTGTCTCTTTCTTGGCCCCTTTTGAGATGGCAGTTAGAACTGAAGACAGTCTTGGAGTTGAATGCTGTGTGGATTAATAGTTACATAATGATATGGCATTTGCATAACTAATCCTGCAAGTATAAGTGTAAAGCAAAATAAACCTGGCAAGCCGTCTAGAAGCAGAAATGTATTTAAATGTACTTACCTTTGAAGCTCCAAGCATACATACAAAGTAAAGTTGCACGTATTAATCTTAATCTCCTGCCAGTAGGATTTCTTATGCCTCTAGAAAGGTAGCAGTTATTTTTAGATGGTGACTTAAATGTTGATCATGCATTTGTGGGGCCTCTCATTAAGTAACCCAATGGATCGGATGTATCCCATGCTTAGTGTAGGAAAGGGTGTGATGAAGCAACCAGGAATATGTGCTGTTGAGCAAATCTATGTATTAGGAGTTGATCAGCTGTCAACTGCTTGCCATGGCCTCATCATAGGTGGGGCAGGAGGACTAATTCTTGATGTGTATTTGGTATTAGCAATTCCTTTACTCTTGTAGAGTAGGAAAACTGGATAGAAATGATACCACCTAACTGCTGAACAAGTAACAGTCTGTCAGTTACTCCTTCTGATACCGCCAGCTGGCTTTCTCTCTCTCTCCTTTTGCTCCTGACACCCTCAGCCAGTGGCATTATTTGCCACTTTAATAGTTTAAACAACAAAGATACAGGTAGTCTCTCAGTTCGGAAAGTTGAGTTATTCCTGACGAAGGGGATGGAAGGCAGCTGTTGTGCCTGGCACCCTGTAGCACCAGAAGTGATTTACTTGCTTGGATTAGGAAGCTTTGGGAAAGAACAGAAGTGAAACAGACTTGATCAAATACAATATGTATGGGTACTTTTACTGTAGTAGTCTAAATTTCTCCTTAAAGTTTGCAATGATGTTGACTTTACTTAATATTAAACAAAATAATTAAGGACTGATGGGAGTTTTGTAGCTTATAGATATACTGTGTATTGCCTAGAGAAACAAAAATAGGGGGTTTTGGCAGAGGATTAAGGATGCTTGAGAAACAAAGCTTTTTAAACATTTGTCTGTGGAGATCTTTATACTGTGCCGTGTGCAAAAACATATAAAAATAGTCCTCCCTTTGTCTTGCTTAGTAACAGTATGTTCTTCTACAGAAGGGAGGGGAATAAAAGATTTAGGCCTATTCTTGGCAGCGATATCAGCAAGTTGTTGACTCACCCTTTGGGCTTGAGTCTGCTGTTTTATCCATAGCACTGGGTTAGCATAGCCAGATTATTGCTAGTGGAAAACTTTATAATTGTTTATGCATTACTGTTGTAGGATGTGCAGTTAACTTGGTTATGATGGTTTATTCTCATGCTGAAAGCAGGGTCATTTCTGGTGTTGGATTGGGTTGCCCAGGACCTTGTTGGGTTGTGCTGAATCTCTGAGGATGTGCTTCCACAGCCTCTTTGGGCAGCTGTTCCCAGTGTTTGGCTACCCTCATTGTGAAAATTTCTTTCTTAATACTGTAACTTCCCTTGCTGCAACTTCGTCCATTGCCTCTGGTCTTTTTTTCTTGTGTACCTTGGAGGAAAGCCTGGCTCATTCTTTGCTCTAGGCATTCCCCCCCACCTGTCCCTTTAGATAGCTTAAGACTGTAAGTGGACATTAGCAACCCATGCCTCCCCAGGTTAGCTTTTTCATCTCTGGTCTGAAGAAACCCAGCGCTCTCAGGCTCTATCGGTGTGCTATAGGTAGTAG